TTTATATTCTCCTATCATGAGGTTGTTATTCTTTGGTGTTGAGTTTTTGTGTTGCAATGGAGTTGTTATGAAGAAGATGTCGAACATGATGTCCTAACATCATTGTGCTTGTGAAAAGATGTCCCTCCATGTTTCTATGCTGATGTGTTAAGTATTTTTTGAAGACTACTGATGAAGGTGTATTTTTTTATTGTTGTAATCTGGATTGTAATTTATGTTATTTATTTTAGCCAAAATTTGCCAAAGGGGGAGGTTGTTAGTTATCTATTTTTAGGATTAACATTAATTTTAGTAAAACAAATATAGCATCAATATGTTAAATAGAATGTGATTACTTGTTATGAAGAACATGTTGATCAAGAAGTCCTATTTATGTTGAGATATGTTGAGATGAGAAATTCTCATCATCTGGAGCAACATGTCAGATAAGATGTCCTATGCAGGCTCATTCGACATCACGCCTATGCTGGGCTGGACAGATAGATCAGTTCAAGATTTAATAGATGCAAAATATTTTAGGAATATTATGCTATCCTATGTGACGCTATTTTATAGGTCTGGAAGATTCAAGTCAGAATCAAGAAGAATATTGAAGAATATTGACTTTCTAATTATGGAGATAAATTAGGAAAGATTTGCTTAAAGATCTATTTTGTTGCAGAATCTTTTGCAGATTTGTAACATCTGATGTGCTGTAATTTGAAGCCCAAATCCAGTTGGGAAAAAGGCTATAAATATAAGCATTCTAACTTAGAAGAAGGTACCAGTCGTGAATGAAAAGATGTAGTTATTAGGGCTAAGTCTATGTGCCACTTTCTAGGAGAGTTGGTATGTGTTCTCCTTGAAGTTGTGAAGCAATATTGGATATTGTTCTTGGAGGAAGCTTGTAAAAAGCTCCAAGTTGTGTTCTTAGTCAAGAGTCTTAGCTAGGTATTGTCATGGAAGTGTGTCTTCTAGCTTTGCTGGCATGGAAGTGTGTCTTCCTATTTTGATTCAACCAATGTCTGTGATTGATGAGGGAGTTGAGGAGGGCCTCATACCTAGGTGAGTCATAGGTAGTAATTATAGCATATGTAGTGATTATTTGAGAAGTTGTTAATGGAGGAATTTAGCTTTGAATTGATGCTATTATAGTGGACTTTATCCCTGACTTGGTATGCCCCAGAGTGGGAGAATTGCTCAAAAAAAGATTAACAATTCTGGTGTGTTGTATACTTTTCAGTACTATTTTATATGTTTATACCTTATCATTGTTGTTTGTTCTAATTCAGATGTCTCGACATGTCATAGGACATCTAAAGTATGATATACCAGAATTTCAGAATTGATTCAATTGTTGAAAGAGATGCTTCCAAAAGGTCACACGTTGTCGAACCGTATTTATGAGGCCAAGACGACATTGTGTCCAATGATTTTGGACTATGTCAAAATACATGCATGTTGTAATGTGAAGAAACTTGTATCAATGAAAGATCTCAAATTAGTTGGCTTAAAATCTCATGATTGTCATGTCTTGATACAATAACTTCTACAATGACTATCTGTGGTATTTTACAAAAAAGTGTAAAGATAACTATAACTAAATTGTACTTATTCTTCAATGTTATATGTAGTAAAGTCACTAATCTTGGAAATTTAGATGAGTTGGAACATGAGGATGCAAATATTTTGGGTCAATTAGAGATTTGTTTCCCGCCATTATTTTTTGACATTATAGTTCACTTAATGTTTTATCTAGTAAGGGAAATTAGATTTTATGGTCCAATTTATTTAAGGTGGATTTATCTGTTAGAGCGATACATGAAAATCTTTAAAGCGTATACGAAGAATCATTAACATTTGAAAGCTTCAATCATTGATTGGTACATCATAGAAGAAACTATAGAATTTTGTTCAAACTATTTGTCATAAGAAACAAACTCTATAGGATTTTCCGAGTCTCGTCATGATGGAAGATATGGCGGGTAAGAGTACTCAAGGTTTAAATGTTAAGATAATGGACCTAGATGTACTTCTTCAAGCGTATTTTTACATATTGAATAAAGTTGATGAAGTTCAACCTTACTTTTCCGCTCACAAAAGTCTTATCAAGGAAAAACTCCTCCGGGTGAGTGACAAATTGATGTTGACAGAGTACAACAATTTTTTTATTAATTGTTTTAATGTAAGGGTTTCTAAAGATAGTAGTGCACCTTATACAAATAAATAGATGTCATATATGCCTAAGTTTAATGTAATAATTTGGAGCGTATATAACATTAATAAATTTTTATTTTATACAAAATCAAAGGATGATCGTAGTACCATGCAAAATATTGGGGTTATGGTTGAAGTTGAATCCAAAGATAACAATTATGTATTCGCATCTTGAGCGTACTTTGGGGTTGTTGAGGAGATTTTGGATATTGATCATGTTATTGTTAAAGTGCTTTTATTTAAGTGCAATTGGATTGCCAGTAACACTTATTTAAAAACCGATAAATTATGATTCTCATAGGTTGATCTTTGAAAGACAACTTATATGAACAAACAATTCATTATGGCATCCCAAGCCAAACAAATTTTTCATATCACTGATCCTTCTAACACTAGGTGGTCAATTATTCTACAAGGAAAACATATTCTTGATAGTGATGAAATTCAAGATTTAAATTTTAGAGACTCCTTCATTCGTATCACATGTTTGTCTCTCACCATCTGATAAAAATGATTTAGATGATGTGCATGCTATTCATTATGAATATCGAGAAGGGATATATGAAAACTAATAAATAAATATTTTATATGACTTAGTAATATATATTTATTCATTTTACATTTGTATACAATTTACTAATATTTTTTTCAAACATGTAGAGATGTCGAAGGATGTCATATGTTGCATGGTTTTAGAAGTAAGAGTAAGAAAATTAAAAATTCCTAAAATAAGTGTTATTCTTTGTGACACTCATATATGCTTATAAATTATTTGTGTTAGTTGTAGTTATTGAAGCATGCTGTTAATATTGAAGTTAGAAGGTTGTTGTTGTTGAGATTGAAGTTTGACTGTTGGTGTTGTTGTTAAGACCAATGATTTAAAGATTTTATGTTGTTGTTGTTGATTATCCTAATTTGTTTTAAATGTGGTTCTAATTATAAGTATTTAACGACCAATTATAAAATTCACAGCAGAAAACTTTTGGATACTCATACAAGAATTTGCATTTTAGTTTTTATTTTTATTTGTTAAACATTTGTTTTAGTTTTGTTGTAAATAGATAATGTGTGTACTATTTTAACTTTGCAGTTGGTGTAATTCATGAATATTTTTTATACAATGTTTCTGTTTTAGAAATGAGCAACATATATACTGTTTAAAATAATATAGGTTAAAACCAAAAATATAGAAAGAGAAAAATTAATAATAAAGACTTCTTCTCGATTATTTTAATAAATCGAGATAGTAAGATGAATTCATTTACTTCGGTGTTTCGTATAACTAAGGAAAAAAATGGAGCGCGCCATTCAATTTACAAAAAAACACACACTTGTTAAGGATAGAATTTATGATCAATAAATCTTTTTCCTCGATGTAAAATCAATTGAGAGAAAAAATAATACACTTTTTATAACGTTCTTTGTTATTTATCGTAAAAAAAAAAAACCAAAATTAACTTTCTATTCAATCGAAGTAAAATATATTTTATATTTTTTTTTTATAATAATGAGTGAAGTTGTTATTTCCGTTGTCAGATATAATTAAAATATCTTTAGCATGATTATTGAAGCTAAGGTTTTTGTGGTTGACCTTTGTAATAATATTAGTAGGAAGCTTGGTGAAAGAGATGATTTAAGTAGTTACATTTACTCAAAAAGAAGTACTCTCCAATTTTATTTATAAACAAAAATCAACATAGTCAGTTTTTTAGTCTTAAATATAGACAAGTATCAACTGTTTTGTTTATATTTGACGTTGTTGTTTCATAACTATTTTTATATTAATAAGTTAATACTATGTATAAGTAATAATTTAATATTTTTTTTAATAAAATAAACATCATCTGCACTCAACTATAGTGACTAGTCTCTAAACACTAATGTATTTTTTGAACTCCTTTCAAATCCATGATCTTTAGTTAAGTCAGAGAGATCTATGTTATAACAATTTAACTAGATAAATTAATGGATACATTATTTTTATACAAAACAAACTATACATTCACTATCCTTTTTGAATTAGTAATAATTTTTGGTAATATTTTCAATTTTCGTCCGTGGATAAAATATTATTTTTATGAAATAGATAAAAATACATTTTAATTCCAAAGTGAAGAATTAAATTAAATGCCTAAGAAAAGTAGAAAGACGAATTTAATTTTACTCTGAAAAGTAGCTTGGAAGACAAGATTCGTCGGTAGGGTTGACCAAGTTTATTTTCAAATCATGTGCAAGCCAGCCTAGACATGCATGGTTACCATTATGGGGAAAACACTGTAGAACTGCTACAAATTTTACACCCTAATAAATATACTTTATTGTAGTAAAAAAAACAGTTTTACACACTGTTTTTTAAGGATCATGTTTAGAAGTGAACTCATTTTATGCATACATTTTTTCCGACAAATTTTACATGTTACTTTTTATTACAAAATCAATGTACATGTATGAAGGGAAATATTCAACGTGGAGTTATGCATAAATATCAAAAAATGATCTGCATTATTATAAAAAGTAATAAAAAGTGATGAAACCAGATTACCTCATGCAACCAGAGTCCACGTTGGACTTTTGAATCTCATTATTGTTCCACTTGTTATCCTTTAATGCTTTCCGCTACTCCCCCAACGGCTCAGAACACGGATTCTTTAAGACACACTGATATTTGATGAAGGTTATAAAAGCACATTAGACAATATCTACAAGAGATCAAGAGCAGGAAAGTGACAGCTTATTTAAAGAAAACAAGAGCAGCAAAGTGTAAGAAAACTTGTGAAGGAGTTTTTCATTTCGATTGGGCAGTTATGGGCTTTCAAGGGAAATGGCTTTCTCTGAGTGTTCTACTTCTTTGTATCGTTCTTGATCTTAGTATTCTTACTCTTGGTGATCAAAAGCTTGACCAAGAAAGGTTTGGAGATGATTGTCGATTTGGACGTGGTCCTCGTTGTAGAGGTTGGGGTGGTCGTCGCGGTCGTGGTGGTTTTGGAGATAGAGGTGGAAGAGGAGGAGGCTTTGGTGGTGGTGGAGGACTTGGAGGTGGTGGAGGTCTTGGTGGTGGCGGTGGTGCAGGAGGAGGTTTAGGTGGTGGTGGAGGACTTGGAGGTGGTGGTGGAGCTGGAGGAGGACTTGGTGGTGGTGGTGGAGGACTTGGAGGTGGTGGTGGAGGAGGTAGCGGTGGTGGAGGGGGATTAGGTGGTGGATCTGGACAAGGTGGCGAATTTGGTGCTGGTGGAGGTGTGGGTGGTGGAGCTGGAGGAGGTCTTGGAGGTGGTGGGGGAGGAGGAAGTGGTGGTGGGGGTGGATTAGGCGGTGGATCGGGCCATGGTGGAGGTTTTGGTGCAGGTGGAGGTGTAGGAGGTGGGGCTGGAGGAGGCCTTGGAGGTGGTGGGGGAGGAGGAAGTGGTGGTGGATCGGGCCAAGGTGGTGGTTTTGGTGCTGGTGGAGGCGTAGGTAATGGAGCTGGTGGAGGCCTTGGTGGTGGAGGAGGAGGAGGTAGTGGTGGTGGAGGTGGATTAGGTGGTGGCTCAGGACATGGAGGAGGATTTGGAGCTGGTGGTGGTGTAGGTAGTGGAGCTGGAGGAGGTCTTGGAGGTGGTGGAGGTGGAGGTAGTGGTGGTGGAGGTGGATTAGGTGGTGGCTCAGGACATGGAGGAGGATTTGGAGCTGGTGGTGGTGTAGGTAGTGGAGCTGGAGGAGGTCTTGGAGGTGGTGGAGGAGGAGGTAGTGGTGGTGGAAGTGGATTAGGTGGTGGTTCAGGACAAGGTGGAGGATTTGGAGCTGGTGGAGGTATAGGTGGCGGAGCTGGAGGAGGAATTGGTGGTGGTGGAGGAGGAGGTAGTGGCGGTGGAGGTGGAATTGGCGGTGGCTCAGGACACGGTGGTGGATTTGGAGCCGGTGTTGGCGGAGGTTCAGGAGGTGTTGGTGGTGGTGGTGGTGGAGGAGGTGGAGGAGGAGGAGGAATAGGTGGAGGTTCGGGACATGGGGGAGGTTTTGGTGCGGGTGGTGGTGTAGGAAGTGGAAGTGGCGCAGGTTTAGGTGGTGGTGTAGGTGGAGGTCATGGTGGTGGAGGAGGAATTGGTATAGGAATTGGTATTGGAATTGGAGTTGGTGTAGGTTCTGGAGCTGGCCAAGGATCTGGTACTGGAACAGGTTCTGGTATTGGCGGAGGAAGTGGGGCTAAACATTAGCCTTTTATGGACTTACGGAGTTATGTCACTTTTGGAGGGATGTTTTCAATTTTCAATATCACTTGTAATGAATTATTTATGAGAAATGTGTATTTTATGTGATTATTTTTCTAAATTACTTTACTAAGTTTAAGGTTAGGAAAACAATCAATGAAGATGTTGCACTTTTATAGTAATTTTAAATTATACAGTGTTAATATTGTTGATAATTAATGTTCGCATTATATTAAGAGTGATGATTGAATTACGAACTTCATTATCCAACTTTACTTGCGGTGAGTATATTAGAGATGACTCTATGTGTGTAAGCTAAGCATGAAGTCTTTTTATTTTTGATATGTAAATAAGTGATGCCTTGACCTCCTCTAGATAGATATTTATAGCTTCGACTCTCTCTCGAAGGAAGTCATGCCCTTTGTGTATAAAACTGGCCACTTGAAGCTTGACTTCGACCCAATTGGGAGCATGGTTGGTGACGCATTCCTTTAATACATAAGATGTGGGTAGTTAACTTAGTGATACTCATGTCTACTGTTTTGATTGGGATATTGTGGATGGTTGTGAGAAACATGTTAGGTGACTATTCTCCTATAATACATTGGGTATGGTGAGAACGCCTATGTATCTAATACATGTGTGAACTCACCTTATCTCGTTTTAGATCTCGTAGTATGTTTTGTGAGATATGAGGTTAATGGGTTGAGACCGTTGATATTTAATTTCCTTGAGTCATAATATAATAGCCCTTAGTCCCTTAAGCTCAAGGCTTATAAGGGAGAAATGGTTAAAGAATGACATTATAGTTCAAAGTCTCTCAAGCATGAAGCCTCTAAAGACGATGTGGTTTAAGAAAGGTATAAGAATCCATGTTCCCTCAAGCATGAGGCTAACAAGAGCGAAGTTGTTAAATGAGGACATAATAGTTCACATTCCCTCAATATAGAGGCCTACAAGAGCGAAGTGGTTAAATGAGGACTTAACATTAACATTCTCTCAAGCACAAGGTCTACAAGGGCGGAGTGGTTAAAGGAAGACATAATATTCCACAGTTTCTCAAGTACGAATCCAATATAAGTACAAGGCAAACTCATGTCCTTTTCATAACTTATGTTTTCTATGTACCTAAGGTATGTGCCCTAAGGTTTCCTAGTAGGATATCACTCTAGATATTAGAACTTTTTAATCTTTTTTAAATGAGGTTCCTTTTAAAGTTCTATATTAAGGGTACCATGTACAAAGAAATGTTATAGGTATATGTTCTTTTAAGGCCCGTCTATTTATTTCAACAAGATAAGTGTCATGGTTAACAGAAAAACATAATTTTATTAAAATTAAAAAATTAGACTACAAAGAGTAAAGCTGGAGGAAAATGCGGAGATGGAAAAGTGTGTAATTGAATTCATGAATAATGATCCTAGATTAACTAAATTATAATGGAGATAGTTCTTTATTGAACTCATCAAAGTTTGTTTGATATTGGTGAGCAAAATCATTGATATCCTTGATTGTTACTTGATTAGAGGAATTCTCTACTGGATATTTTTTTCTGATGTTTCTTTTGTTGTTTTTCAGTTATCCTATTTTCTGTAAGTCTTGTTTTCATTTTTAATAGTATGGACTTTCCTATAATAGTTTAATTTTCCATTAACTCTTTATATTGGAGGTCATATCCTATTTCTTCTAGGATTTTTGAAACTAGGTTTCCATAAGGTAGAGATTTTTTTTTTGAAATCACTCATATGTTTGATTACTTGCTTGAGTCAGTTGTTGTGACTTTGTTTTCTAGTGACCACATAGTTACGACTTCCATTTGATTTAGATGATCTATTATTCCTTTCCTAGGAAAGAGAGTGTGGGAGATGACAAAATGGGTTAGTCTGTTCTCTGGATGAATATGTTTGATCTCTAGTGGGTATGGAACATATGAAGAGGGTTTCTTTATTAAGGATAATGTTGCAGTGTCAAAGTCAAAATCATTCTCTTCCATGGGTTTATTTTGATACGGAAGATCAAGGATTCTTCAAAAATCTTCAATAGAGAGGTTTATGAGGTTTTTTTTTTACTTCTGCGTGGATAATTCCATCAGTTAGATGGAGGTTTGAGAATAACATCTTTACTAATGTGTGATAGATCCTTTTAGAGGGTGTGCAAAAAAAGTTTGAGTGTTTGAGTTCTTCTAGAATTTTAAAGAAATTGCATTATTTTAAAATATCGGGATCTAAGGTATAAGCTCTCATGATAGTTCTTCTAACAAAGTGGTTGAGGAAAAGAGTTTCTTGTTGTTTGGTTGTGAAATCATGTGTGTATGGTTTGCGATATGAACTGAGGCTTCTAGGGATCGTGATAAACCTTTTGAGAAGAGAGAATCCTAATAGTTAAAGGAGTAAAAGTATGAGATGCAAAGAGAGTGAAGAAGTGATACCTTTTTATAGCGTGTGATCTGATGGGCTTGGGCTTTCAATCGAGTCAAGAATTGAATGAATAACACGCTATCCAAAAATCAGATCAAATATTGCCAATTTTGAGGGTTTTAATCGATTGATTTAATCGATTAACACTCTTAATTTTTCCATTTATTATGTGGATCCATCAATGCTCAAATTTTATATTTCTTGTGCATCACGTTGGTTTGGATTGAACTTTGAATTTTGAATTTCACACATTTGTAATATTTTAATTGATTATCTCTTTTTGTTAATCAATTACATTTTCTTTGACCAACCTCCTTGGTGTTTTGGTTTGGCCGTTGGGCTTTGTTGATACCTCCAATTGATGTTTTTGACATCCCTAAGTTAAAAACACTTGAACACACATATATTATGGGTTAGAAAGATATTTAATAAATAATAAATATAAGAAAATATTAGAAATAATTATTTTAAGGGGTCAATAAGATTAACTGATCATTTTCAACCTTAAATTAATTTTACTTGGGTCAAGAAAGAATTCTTGACAAAAGTTCTCTTAAGAGAGGACACTTAAAAAGTGTTTCCTTCTCCACAAAATAATAGATGCGGGAGTTAGCAAATTCAAATAAATAGATAAGTCAATCACATGCTTATCTACTTTACTGATCATCTTAGATCATAAATTGAGAAATTTTCAAATGGTATTGCTTCGATAATAACTGTTGAGATCTGTCATCATCATTCTTTCTCAGGACCAAAGACATATCAAGTCTATACTCTTAGATTATACTTCTGCTTTTGCAAGGCTTCATCAAGAGATCTTTAATGTTTTGAGCTACATAACATTGCCTACAAAACAAAAATATGTTAATATGGTTTTTTTGCTTTATTCTTTATCTTCCTTGTAGGTGTCATATGTTGTCTTCTTTGTTTTGAAGATGATTTTCTCAAGGTTGCAAGCTTTTATCTTTTGTTCAACTGACTGAAGAACTTATTCATCATTTTGTTGTTCTTTGAACATGGGGAATCCTTGATTAATGTAAAACTGAAATATTATATATGTGATGATCTTCGACTTTTTGATTTCTTCTTTCCTCTCTCTTAGATTTTCCTGAATTCATGAAGGTTTTCATATATGGAACTATGCGTTGGAAAAAGTTTTCCAATTCTTAATTTTATAGATAAACGTTAGAAATAATAAGAAGTTTCTTTGCCTCATGTGTTCATATCCTTTGATTTGATACTCGGAGAAACTCCATATCCAAAGTATCCTACATTTCATTGACAATTTTAAAAAACAAATTTAAAATATATTTTGGTCAAAAGAATTTTTCCACGTCTTCATTATTTATTTAACGAGAAGGGTAAAATGGACCATTTGAATAATTTTCAACTAATGAAGAATTTATTTTGAAAATGAATTTTGAATAAAAAGTTTTCAAAAGATGGTGGTGATTTTTTAAAAAAAGGAATCTTGTGTTAGAATACATCTTCCTCCTGTGACGATTAGTCCTTTAAACATGAGTTAGGTTATGAATCACTTGTTTGACTTGAGACTTCACACACAAGAGGGGGGTGAATTGTGTGGTTTGGATAAACATAATTTTGAAAAAAAATTGAATATTAAAAACATAGTTTGAAAAGCATTTTCTAAAACCTAAGATCTATCAGAGTTTCAAAAACTTTTTTATAACTTAGAAGCGGAAAAATAATTTTGAAATAAAATGCGGAAAGTAAAAAGTTAAAGGATAAGAAGAAAACCGAGATATATAGATGTTCACTCAAAACTGAAGGACCTACTCCTCTCCCCAAGAATTGGTCTAGAGAGTTTACATTAAATACTTGAGAGCTTTTAGTAGGTGAAGCTCACGAACCCCCTTATAAATGGAAATGTTGGTTCTCCTACAACCATGATAATACAAGATGAAAGATACAAACATTTGCGTCTTCTCCATTATTGAGATCGAAGTGGCCAAGCTCCTCTCCTAATTGTAGATCGAAGTACCATCACTTCTCTCCACTAAAAAATATCTGAGCACAATATGGGTTAACAAGATAACCATTAACCTCTCGTGATTTTAACAGGCTGATCAACTAACATATCATTTTATAACGGGCTAACCATGAACCTAATGGTGAGTTCTTCAAGATTGTTGATATTCAACCTTTGAATAAATAAGACTTTATAATATTCTTAAGGTAAGCTCAACAAAATTGGTAACCTCTAACCTATATAGATTATGGGAACCTAATCACACAAATTCCTAACAAAAGCTTTTAACGGGTTTAGCTTCGAACCACATAATTTTTCTCTAAACTTGGATGATGTTCATCAAAGTGAATCAAGAACAACCTTGAAGAACTTTATACATTTCTATCCAACCTGAAATGCATAAACCTCTCCTCACAAAAGAAATTTTCTCACAAAAGCAATTGGCTATAAGAACTAGTGCGAGAAAGTGACAGTATAAACTTAGAGAGAGAGAGAGAGAGAGAGAGAGAGAGAGAGAGAGAGAGAGAGACATAGAGATAATGTCTCAATACACATTTTGTCTTATGGATGATTTGAACCGAGGAATGAGACCTCTATTTATAATATTCAAATAATCCAAAACAGGAAATAACATTTATTGATTTTCTACCATTACTAATTGATTGACACAATCGATTAAGTCATTAAAGAGTAACGACTAAGTTATCTAAAATAGGCAAGAAGTAATTTGTAGTCGTTACAAATCGATTGGTTACATTCAAATTGCCTTTATCTTAAAAAACACGCCAATTTAATTAATTGGGCTAATCGATCAAATCTAGTTAAAATATATATTTTTGGCTTTTTATATGTTCCCATTTCTTTCTAGGAAACTCCTATATATTTCTTTAAGACATTTTATTTTCAAAAACATTTTATAAAATTTTTGTATGTGTGTGTGTGTGTGTGTGTGTGTGTGTGTGTGTGTGTGTGTGTGTGTGTGCGCGCGCGCTTATAGCCAATTACTTCAAAGAGAAAATAACTTTTGCTTACATTGATTCACTCAATTGCTATTTTAGGATGATTGACCTAGATCTTGTGTCTGATGTATTCCATATGTTTGACCTTAGGTTTGAGATGACATGAAGCTTTTGATTTCCTTTATCCTTATCTGAGTCTTTCTTGTCAAACCCATGGTTTGTGTTAATTCTCTATTTTTATGGTTGGCATTATGTTTGGTAAAACTAATAGAGCAGAAAATATATGTTAAATAGGATATTTTATCTTGTTGAGAAGAACATGTTAAACAAAAAACAAGAAGTCCTATTTTATGTTGGGACATGTTGAGTTGAAGTATTTCAACATCTGGAGAAATAATTGCAAATGAAATAGTTGATCCTTTATATAGGTGTTGAGGAAGTAGACTGTTGTATTAGTACACACGTCACTTTCATCTTGTAAACTGCCATAATGGTAGGAATTGATCGTGGGAGACAAATAGTACACAATACATCTATTTGAGTGGAATGTATAATTGTACCTTTTTACTAACCATTCTTATGCGTGTTTTTGATGATACTGTCTTCTGATGAATATGACTTCTGAGGAAGTAGATTGGCTTGAGAAGATATCATTTTTTGATCTTATCTTCTGATGGACTATGTGATGTGTATAAGTGATGAGTCCAGAAGATCTATCTTTCCTTTGATTTGTCTTCTGATGGAATACTTCTGATGTAAAGTTATGTGCGTATATTACACGAAGTTAATGAGTCTTCAAAATCTTGACTTTGTCTTCAGAATTAGAAGCAACAACTTTTCTGATGAACAAATCTTGACTTCTGAATCTGAGGTAGAAGCTTTCCGTTGATGTGTTCAGAATCTTGACTTTGTCTTCAGAGTTACGAGCAAAAACTCTTTTGACAAATAAATCTTGACTTGTAATATTTGACGCTATAAGCTTATTTCTGTGCAATCTTGTTTTCTGATCTTGGAGCAGAAGCTTTAATAGAATTCCTTTATTATGGAATACTTGTGACTTCTGAAGCAACAACTTATTGAGAAGTCCATGTTAAGACCTCTTTTTGGCGAACATTCAGCATTCTCCAGAACTACTGATGTTTCTTCAGAAGTGGATGCAATAGTCTTTCTGATGCATGCTTAGTATATTTCTGATGACTCTTCAAACAACAATACTGAATTAATTTAAAACTTCTAATGTGCACACTCCAGAAACAATTAGAAACAAAATTGTTTACATATAAAATATATGTATTGTGATCATCAAAATCTAGAGATTAATTGTAGAATCCAAATCTTGTTCTAACAAGAAAGAGATTTAATAAATAATAAATATAAGAAGAGTTTAGAAATATTTATTATAAGAGGTCAATCAGATTATCTGATCATTTTTAACCTTAAAATAATTTTACCTGGTCAAGAAACAATTCTTGACAAAAGTTCTCTTAAGAGAGGATATTTCAAAAGTGTTTCCTTCTCCACACAACAATAGATGCAAGAGTAGGAAAAGTAAAACAAATAAATAAGTCCATCACATGCTTATCTACTTTACTGATTATTATAGATCATAAATTGAGAAATTCTCAAATGATATTGCTTTGATAATAACTGTTGACATCTGTCATCATCATTCTTTCTCCGAATCAAAGACTTATCAAGTGTATACTCCTAGATTATACTTCTGCTTTTGCAAGTCTTCATCAAGAGATATTTAAAGTTTTGAGTTACATAACATTGCATGCAAAACAAACATATGTTAATCTAATTTTTCGTTTTATCCTCTAACTTCATCGTAGGTGTCATATGTTATCTTCTTTGTTTGGAAGATGATTTTCTCAATGTTGCAAGCTTTTATCCTTTGTTCAACTTACTGAAGGAATTCTTCATCCTTTTGTCGTTCTTTGAACACGGGGACTCCTTGATTTGTGTAAAACTGAAATATAATATATGTGATGATCTTCGAGTTTTTGATTTAATCTTTCTTCTCTCTTTGATTTTCCTGAAATTCGTGAAGGTTTTAATCTATGGAACTATGAGTTGGAAAAGTTTTCCAATTCTTAATTCTATAAATAAATGTTAGAAATAATAAGAAGTTCCTTTGCCTCATGTATTCATGTCCTTTGATTTTATACTCAGAGAAACTCCATATATCTTTTCCAAAGTATCCTACATTTCCTTGGAAATTTTCAAAAAATAAATTTAAAATATCTTTTTGGCCAAAATGACTTTTCCACTTCTTCATTATTTATTTTATGAGAAGAGTAAAACAGACCATTTGAATAATTTAAAATAAGAAGGAATAATTTATTTTGAAAAATAATTTAGAATAAAAAAGTTTTCAAAAGATGGTGGTAAATTTTTTTAAAAAGGAATCTTGTGTTAGATGTAAATTCCCAAAGGGGGGGGGGGGGGGGGGGGTGAATTTTGTGATTTGGAAAAACATGGTTGTGAAATTTTTTTCGAAGATTAAAAACATAGTTTGAAAAAAAATTTCTAAAAGCTTTGATCTATCTGAGTTTCAAAAACTTTTTTATAACTTAGTAGTGGAAAAATAATTTTGAAGTAAAATGCAGAAAGTAAAAATTTAAGGGATGAGAAGAACACCACGATATATAGAAGTTCGGTCAAACTGAAGGACCTACTCCTCTCCCCAAGAACTAGTCTTGAGAGTTTCCATTAAGTAGTTGAGAGATTTTTGTAGGTGAAGCTCACAAACTCCCTTATACAAGGAAATGTTGATTTTCCTACAACCATGACAATACAAGATGAAATATATAAACATTCGCGTCTTCTCCATTATTAAGATCTAAGTGGCCAAGCTCCTCTTTCAATTGTAGATAAAGGTACCATCACTTATGTCTACTAAAAAACATATGAACTCAATATGGTTTAACATAATAACCATTAACCTCTCATGATTTTAACAGGATGATCAACTAACCTATGTTTTTATAACAGGATGAACAGGAAGCTAATGGTGAGTTCATCAATATTA